ATATATTGATTTCAGAGAGGAAGGGAGAGGGAGAGAGGTAGAAACATCAATGATGAGAGAGACTCATCGATCAGCTGCCTCCTGCATGCCCCACACTGGGGACCAAGCCCACAACCTGAGCATGAGCCCTGACCAGGAATCAAACTGTGACTTCCTGGTTCATAGGTTGACGCCCAACCACTGAGCCATGCCGGCCAGGATGAAGCATAATTTTTATCTGGGAGAGTAGATACTTAAGTTTGAATCTTCCAGGAGAGAGCAGAGTACTATGAAGGGGGAAACAGGACTGGTGAGTTTTGAAGGGAAAGAAAAAATAAAGATATTGAGCATAAAATTGTTCTGCACAGTTGAGGTAGGGCTTAGGTAGTTGGGGACTCCAGGTGGGCAATATGGGGTGTGAAAGTACTAAAAACAAGAAAGGGGGGTTAGCAAAAGGAATGAAGTAATATTGTCACACCTACACAGATCCACAGATCCTTAATACCCGTGAGCTTGATTCCCACTTATGTAGTTAGTTATATAGGACATCTGAAAGTCCTCTTCACCAAAAGTATCTTTTGACTTTACTGAAATTCCCATTATATTTATATTTGAGGGGGAAGAGCAAGGATGATTCACCTTGTCTTCTAATCAGCCTATAAGAGTCTGGTTAACCAGGACTGTATCCTATTTCTCTGAACCCCCCACGCAGTACATAACAGTGATGTGTGTATATACAGGCGACCTTCACATGTGAGGGAAGTTGGGCGTTTTCATTTCCAGCTGCCCCTTGAAAACACACAGCCTCAGTAGAGGCACCCGTGAGCAGGGAGGGGCGGGGAACCTTGAGCCACCCTGGCCTGCTCTCATTTTTCTTGGAGGAGCATTAACCATGGGAGGTGTTTTGTTGAGCAGGTATTCTATAAGAATTTTGCATTGTCTTTCTGAAGATGGCTTCATAGGAAAAATGTGGGCTTTAGAGGCAAAAAGTAGTATTATTAGAATTCTAGAATCAATTCTCTGAATTGGTTCCCAGCTGTGGGATTTTGCACAGGTAACCTCTGAGCTTCAGTTCCTTTTTGTAAGATGGGATAAAACAGTCACCCTGGCCTCATGGAACCCAATTTCCTTTCTAGCTGCCTGGGGATTATGTCTGGTCAAGTGTACACAAGTGTTCACCTCCCCTGCTATCCCCACTCTGTCTGTTCATATGCGCCAGGGGTCAATACAGTAAAGGTTAGTGCTTAAAACTGGAAAATTGTCTATTTCTTTAAATAAAAGAAAAATCCTTGCTACAGTCTGATTTTTCTTTCAAATAATATGAAAATAAACATACATTCAGCCAATGGGAAAATTCCAAATTAATGTAGCCTGATTTTAAAAATCTTATTCTGGGAGGGGCGGGTGCGGCGGGGCGTGGGGGGACAATGGGGGGATAAGGACACATATGTAATACCTTAATCAATAAAGAAAGAAAAAAAATCTTATTCTGAGTCATTAGACTACATTTGGGAATCTAGTTGCCTATGCTTTTTTGTAATTGACATCCATTGGTGCTCATTTTAGTACAATTTTCAAGGTTACAATTTGTAGAATCATAATAGGGCAAAAAGATTTCACTGCTGTTTCTCCTTAGATTTCATGATTATACAAGAGCTAGATTTTCTTGCTTGTAGAATGAGGAGTGAAGCAAAGTAGTGTTTTTTTCTCTCTACATTTTCTAATCTCTACATATTGCATATTATTGCTTTTGTAGTGGTTTTTTGTTTGTTTGTTTCTGGTATTTTAAACTATGTTTTAACATTTCAATTGATGTTATATATTGAACAGATGTCTTAAATTATTTGAGTATAGTGTTCAGAGAAACCGAAAAAGAATTAGTTTTAAAAATCATTATTTTTTGCTTTTCCAAAACCTGGTAAAGTGCTTTCTTTACCTGTTATTTTTTTTCCCCCTCCCAGAGTAATATTCTTGATTTCATTTTTTGAGGTCGATATGTTGCCTCATATCTATATTAAATTCACTGGAGCAAGGCCCTGAATACATTTGTCAACTGTCCAATTTGTTGATAACCAAGTTAACAAGTAACATTTGTTATTAATTATATCAATAAAAACATCACAATCTTACAACTCTGGTTTGAGCCTAATAGAGTAGGAAGTTTGAGGGATGAATATTCGCAAGCAATTAATGGACTGCTCTTTAGGAAAAAAATACTGGAAATCATTTTTAATAGCCTCTTTGCATCTTAACCAGACTTCAGTCAAATCAAACCATCTCTGGCTAGAAAAATGTAATCGGTTCCTCAAAATTAAATCTAATGACCTTGTCTCTGCAAAAAGTCAAGTAATATACTCTCATGAAAGAAAACATCCTCATTCAATGCATGTTATTAAAAAGGTGTCCTATTTTCTTGTTTGGGTTCTGCCTGTTTTTTTTTTTTATTACTGCATATTAAAGTAACTGTTTTGCCGACATGGAAATGATACCCTATCTGAACATGGCTTGGATGAAAATAATGATGAAAGAACCAGAGAGACCTATCAGCTCCATTATTATGCCTAAGTAATGGAAAAGCACCGAGCTACCAGAATCTTTATCTTAATGTTTACATGACTCATAAAAACAAGTAAAAATTAAAATAGGGTAGATTACTGATTCCTCTTTTAAAAATAAGGCATTCGAAGAATCATATAGAATCTTAGATTTTGTTACCGCCTCTTTTGGTACAAGAGTCAGGCACCCCAGATTTTGAAAAAAATATAAAGGAGAGAAAGAGAGAGGGAGGGAGGGAAGATGGGCAGGGGAGTCAAGAGATTAGAAAAAGAACCAGCGAACTATATCCTCCTTTGCCATAAGAAATGGAGTCAATGTTCATTGAAAACACCTTGCCAAAGGCTACTAGACACTTTTCATGTTTTATGGTGTTTAATCTTTTGATTATTAGGTATTATCTCTAACATTGAGTTAAAGAAACAAAGGCTTACAGTGTTACAAGATACTTGTCCAAGACCACAGCCTACCAGTGGTGAACCTCATATGTTAAGCCCATGATCTTTTCATTGTGTCATGTTAGTCCAACACACGTGGTATCTAATTTTTGGTAAGGAAAACTCATTCCAATTTTACTAAAACTCATTCCAATTTGTGTAATGGTGATACACAAAGTTAAGTGTATCATCGTTAGTTTTTAAACTAATAAAAAGTTTATTAGGTTTCAAACATAATGAAAATGAAGGAGATGGAGATTACAGTTCCCTAGTAGATATATGTTTGGTGTGTTTCTGTGTAGAATGATGTCTTTGAGGGAGTAAGTCTTGGTATTATACAGAAAATGGTTATCAGCTAGAAGTTGTAGACACTTCATCCGAACTGGTTGAAATGATTACCTTCTCTCTCTGGTCCTTCTCTTTCAGGGGCCATGGATCAGAGAAACTGTAGGTTACCAGGAGTGTCATAAAGGCCACTGTTTTAAGCAAAGCAGAAGGTCCCCAGGGAGATGGGCTGAGCCGAGCTCAGAGGATGGTGCTATGGTCCAGAGGTCCTAAGAAAAGGAGACGCCCCACATGGTCAGTTTGGTGCCACCTGGGCCCTGAGAGTTGACTATATTTTTTCCTTTTTTGAAAAAAATTGAGATATAACTCACATACCACAAACTTACTTTTTTTAAAGTATTGAGTGTTGTTTAGTATATTCACAAGTCTGTGCAACTGTCATCATTATTGAATTCCAGAACATTTTCATCACCCCAAAAAGAAACTCCATTACACATTAGCAATCACTCCTCAATCCCCCATCTCTTTAGTCCCTTTCAACCAGGATTTTACTTTCTGTCTCTACAAATTTGCCTATTCAGCTATATTTTATGCGTAATTTCCAGTTACTGTTAGTTGTGCTCCCACTGGGTTGCTGAGTAGTCAGTCCAGTGGGTTGTTTCTCAGGATGTTCAGTGAGGGACCTAGTAATTTCCCCATATCTCTTCCTATGTATCCAGCCTCGGTTACAACACAAGCACCACATTTTTGCTTGGAGTTTGTAAGCTTCCCCTGGACTCCCTGCACTGTAGATATATTTGCACAGCAAAGAAAACCATCAACAAAAATGAAAAGACAAGCCAGTGAATGGGAAGACATATTTGCTGATACATCAGATAAGGGGTTAATATACAAAATTTATAAAGAACTTATATAACTCAACACCCAAAACACAAACAATCCAATTAAACAATGGGCAAAGGATCTGAATAGACACTTTTCCAAAGAGGACACACAGATGGCCAATAGACATATGAGAAAATCCTCAACATCACCAATCATCAGAGAAATGCAAATCAAAACCACAATGAGATATCACCTTACACCTGTCAGAATGGCTACCATCAATAAATCAACAAACAACAAGTGTTGGTGAGGATGTGGAGAAAAGGGAACCCTTGTGCACTGTTGATAGGAATGCAGACTGGTACAGCCACTGTGAAAGGCAATACGGAATTACCTGAAAAAAATTAAAAATGGAACTGCCTTATGACCCAGCAATTACACTTCTGGGAATTTATCTGAAGAAATCTGAAACACTAATTTGAAATAATATATGCACCCCTGTGTTCATTGCAGCATTATTTACAATAGCCAAGATTTAGAAGCAGCCCAAGTGTCCATCAGTAGATGAGTGGATAAAAAAGCTGTGGTACATTTACACAATGGAGTACTACTTGGCTGTAAAACAAAGAAGGAAATCTTTTTGTAACAGCATGGATGAACCTGGAGAACATTATGCTAAGTGTGAAATAAACCAGTCAGAGAAAGACAAGTACCATATGATTTCACTCATATGTGGAATTTAATGAACAAAATTCAACTAATAAGAAAAACAGAGACAATGTTGTGGTGAATGTGTGGGGGAAGGGTCATGGATGGAGGTGGAAGAGAGTATAGGGAAGATATAGGGTGATGGAAAAATAAAATAAAATAAAATAAAGAAAAAATAATTTAAATAAATAAGAAAAGCATTAAGGACTCAATTAAATTTAATCTTAACTAGAAACATCTAGCCTCTAGTATCCTCACATAAGCAAATATTATTTGTTAGGCTCATTATTTCAATCTGGTTTTTCTTGAATCCCATCTCTCCAAACATCACTGTGTGCATTTAATATCTCTGAAAGACCTCTGAATCCCTTGAAATCAGTTTCCCAAGCCAGAAACCCAAGAATCATCTTAGATTGTCTTTCTTCATGTGTTTCTTCTGCTTCCTCATCTACACTAATAATTCATCACCAAATTCTATGGATTTTAACCACCCACTGCAATATCTTCCCTCTTCTCTTCTCTTCTCTTCTCTTCTCTTCTCTTCTCTTCTCTTCTCTTCATCTGCAGATCCCGTGCCACTGTAAAAGTTCTGTCAACATGCAGTCATTATGATGACTGGACTGCAGCCACTTCTTTTCTGGTCTCTCTGCTGCCCATCTTGTCCCCTTTACAATGCTCCCAAGTGGTCTTCTAATAATCTAAACCCATTTATATCCCATACCTCATATTAAAAATTCTTGAAAATCTCTCCATAGTTTTGAGGATGAAGTTTAAAATACACTAGTTCATCCACGGTCTGCTCTTGCATAATTTCCCCCTATACCCTTCCCTGCATCCACACTGAATGGCACTGGATGGCTTGTCTGCCCCTGAATGTGTCGTTCAGTCTCAGGTTCACTGCTCCTGCACAAACATTTGAATTGTCTAAAATGTTACCTCCTACTTTATTCTTCTATCAATTCTTATGTTCTACCTTCCCTTTATGGTAGAGACTGTCTAATTTGTTCATCTTTACACCAAATTCTCTGTTAATTACTCTGCTCAAACACTTCACCCAATTTCCTCACTGTCCCATAATACCACTGCAATTCTCAGTGTCTCCAACTATATTGTAAATGTATTGAAAGCACAGATTAATAATCCATAGCACCTAGTTCATATTTGTTGAATGGAAGAAAGTAAAAGAAAGAAAAAAAGCAGCAGAGCCTAAATGCTGCTTGTCTCCATATGCAGTATTAACTCATACAAGGTCAGCACTTTTCCCTTAAAGCCTACCCATACCAGAAAGCATAAGTGAATAAAACAAGTCTTATACTATTGTTTGGAAGATTTGGGGAGGACAAGAAGGAAAGGATTTATAACACAAAACACTTAGTAAGTTTTATAAATGTTCCCATTTGACCTTTTTGTTTTTTTTCCCTGTTCCAAGAAGAGATAGCAATTCTTAATGTACATACACATAACAACACAGTATCAAACAGCATGAGGCAAAAACTGATAGAAGAGTAAGGAAAAATAGGTTAACCCACTATCATAGTGCAACCGAACAATAAAATGGAGGTTTGGCTGCCTGCTACCACGAAACCCAAACTTGTGAGGCAGGTGATGGTGCAAAAGGAAAGAGGTTTTATTCAGAGCCACATGTCCTGGGAGAATGGTGGGCTCTCATCTCAAAGACAAATCTCATCTCCCTCTGTCTCAAAGATCATCTCTCTTCCTGCTCAAGCCTGCTCTTCTTAAAGGGATAGGGAGGGAAGGGAATTTTTTTTCTATCCAATTACCTTGCTAGCTCTTGGTGCCCCAGGCCCCCATCCATTCATCTTTCTAGCTTTTGACATGCTGGAGTCCTATCCATTCATCTTTCTAGCTTTTGGCATGCTGGGGTCCTTTCCATTCATCTTTCTATTTTTTTTTTTTTTTTTTGGTGTGCTCACTCCCTATCCATTCATCTTTCTAACACTTGGCACACTCAGTGTAAAAGCCTCCCCTGCTGCCATATTTTTAAAAATTATTTAATATATTTTTATTGAGTTCAGTGAGGAAGGAAGAGGGAGAGAGAATCATTGATAGGGCTGCCTCCTACACACTTCACACTGGGGATGGAGCCTGGGCATGTGCCTTGACCAGGAATCGAATTGTGACCTCCTGGTTCATAGGTTGAATAAATCTCAAGACCACCAGGGTAAGAGCAGGTAGAAAGAACCACCTCAATAAAATAATGAAAATGTGTGTTAAATACTACATATTGAAACTTGAACCCCCATCCCGATGCTCCTTGCTTTGTGAGCATTAAAGCCAGGCCTATGCATTCCCCATTGTCTAGAAAAATATTACAGAATTCTTCTCTGGAGAAACTGAAGGTTCCAAAGGCTTGTGGGTACTGTCCTGGCAAGAAAGCATATTCACTCTAGATCAGCGGTTCTCAACCTGTGGGTCGCGACCCCTTTGGGGGTGGAACGACTTTTTCACAGGGGTCGCCTAAGACCATCGGAAAACACATATATAATTACATATTGTTTTTGTGATTAATCACTATGCTTTAATTATGTTCAATTTGTAACAATGAAATTGGGGTCACCACAACATGAGGAACTGTATTAAAGGGTCGAGGCATTAGGAAGGTTGAGAACCATTGCTCTAGATGATTCAAATGAAGAGGCATTAATGAAGAAAGTGCAGTCTATAAGTGAACAAATAAAGGATGACGAGCCACATGGCAACTAGCAATAGCAGGAAGCCATTATGTTAGTGTGCGTAGCTAGATATTAATAAAGGAAGGGAGCAAAGGGAACTAGATATTAATAAAGGAAGGGAGCAAAGGGAAACAGACATCAAGCCTAATAAACCAGGGAGTTGAACCAGACAATAAGCCTGCTTCATTAGAAAGCTACAGCTTCACACAGTCCCCAGGGGACTGCTGCAGCTCTGCCCTTGGGTCCTAATCCCCAAAGTGGGCAGGAAGGGTCATCACTGGTCATTACTGAGGGAAGGATAAAAACAGCAGAAGACATTCTCTGCTGAACACATGCCCAATAGAAGTCAAGAAAGCGTAGGGGGAAGCTCTTCTACTTTGAGGCATGGGTACACAGTAGGAGCCAGAATGTCAACCATAAAGGCCTGTCTGTGTAGCCTGGGTGAAAAAATTGGATTGGATAAGGCACACAGAACCCGGAAGATCTAGAAAATGAATTGGTTAGGGAAGGGCCCAACACCAGACAGTGAAACATTGGGAAATTGATTGGTGAGTTTGAAAGAGCACCTGGTCCTTCCCAAAATGGAGCTAATATGATCCAAGCTTAACAAAGCCCCCCCCCCCCCACCTCTCTCTCTCTGTTCCTCTCTCTTGCTAACACATGCCTGCCCCATGTGCTTGAATGTTCTTTCCGTAGCAGCCATGCCACCATAGCAGCCACGTGGCCAGCAGCCGTGCAGACTCTAAGCATGAGCCGGGGTAGGGCAATGCAGTGTCAGTTGGATCTCTGCTGGGAACACAGACTAAGCTAGCCGGATGCAGACTGAACTGGACTGAACCAATGGCACAGAACTTTTGGAGACTGGCTTGATGAAGTGCTTCTACAGTAAATCTTCCCACTGCATCTTATCCTCCCATTCGTGGGTCCCTCGAATGCTTTCTTTGTGACTCATGAAAGGCCACATTTCCACTGGCAACAATGATATCCCCAGGACAATGGAGGAAAATAGAGGCTAGTGTGAAGTATGACAGTGGAACAAACCCTCACAGCAGAAACTGAAGCGTAGAAATCTGTAGATACTACTATAGAGTCCATGCTGAAGTAGGGATTGAATTGGGGTGTGGGGGGCAATACCCTGACCTTTGTCCCCTCTGTTCATCAATATCCTCATAGTCCCTGCTCACTTGAGTTCAGTGGTTTAGGGAGCCCATGTGTGTAGTTATCAGGGTCAGCCTCCTCAGACACAGAATAGAACAGAGAAGAATGTGGAAGGGACATGATGGGGGGCAGTGCGTAAACAGAATATCTAACAAGGATACTGACATTCAGAAGTTCTCTAATGAAACCTGTGTGTGCTAGTTTTAACACCCTAGAAGTCTGCTAGTGTGTACCACAAAGTAGTTCCTAGTGCCACATCTTAGGTATGGACAGACAGTGTCGGATTACCCATCTGAAAAGGTTTCCAACTTAAAAGGCAGTTAAAATACAAACCAACTAAATAATCAAAAACAAAGAACTCCAGAGTACAAAAAAGAAAAAGACAGGGTACTTTTAACATGATATGTTTAATCAATGAAAGGATTATAAAGTCAGGGAAATCTTTGAGGAAGTAAAGCAAAAAAGTAAACTTAAAGGAGAAAAAAATGTGGTGATAAATCCATGAGACCCAACATCCCACTCATATGAGTTCCCCAAAGAGAGATCAGAGAAAAATTTCAAATAGTTAATAAAATAACATCTGCATTGCTTCAGAACATGTGATTTCAGAGCAAAAGGGGTCACTGGAGGTTCAGTGCAATGAATACAATTTCAAATCACCAGGAATAACAGGAATTTTCAAAAAGCTGTTAGAGACAAAATGAATTTATATTCAAGCAATTGAGGACAAAGTATCATTATTCTTCCCAACAGCAGCAGAAGATAGTGGAAATATATCTTCAAAATTATGAGCCAAAAATGATTTTTAACTTAGAATTCTATTCCCATCCTAATGATTCGTCAAGAGTGAAACTGGAAAATACATTTTCAAACATTTGAATTCTCAAAAATTTATTTTGTGTGCCATGTCTTGAGTGTTGATAGAGAATACATGCTACTATATCGATGTATTCTACTAAATGAATGTCTCAGTTAGGGAAGAGGGGA